AGACGAACACAAATAAAAAAGAGGTATCTGAAAGAGGTCTCTTGTTGTAATCAGTGTTTGTTTTTCAATTTTCTCATTTTAGTTTTTAAATTGCTTTAAGGTATGTAACCTTTGAAACATGCTTAAAAAATAGCTCTGTTAGGATAACTTCAAATAGAATTAAAAGCGGACATTTTTATTCAATTTCATTTCTATTTATTTCAGTAACTAAGTTGTTCTCTAATTGTGATCTCCACTGCATAGTAAGTGTCTTTCTGTAGCAATGATTAGGGTTAGCTCACCCTTTCAGTTTAGGGACCAGAGGACCTGTACTGTATAATAATATAATGATAAAAATGACCTCGTTGTAATGACCTTTACAGACTGGAGGCTGCATAGCTTTCATCGCATTGACTACTGTAATCAGTGTACACAACCAACAGTGTAAAAACAAACGGACAGGGCTCTAGACTTCCCAGTGGCTGTGAAAGAGGCACACAAGACTGTTCTCAGAGAAAACAGTGTGCTTAATTGTATTGAAATGTTTAAAAAATATAATTTAATATTGCTGAAATAAGAGGCCACTTAAAAAAGAGAGACACTTCTGTGATTATTCAATACTAACAGTGCACTTTTTATAATGACAATTTAAAAGTTTTTATGTTTTATTTTTTATTTTATTTTGTTTTTCTTCTAAAGATGTACACTCATTTTGATGTGCTGTGTATGTACTGTAAAGTTAAAGATTTGACTTTTTATTGTAGTGTTATTCAATATTATTTACAGTTAGTACATTTAAATGTTCTTAATTGCAAGATGATCACTGCAGATATGGCACAAATAAATTTAAATACATGACAGAAGTTTCAATATAATGAATCAACTAATTTTGTTAAATTTGTTAATTAAAGCTTAACTCTTAATTGTTATTTGTCATTGTTAACCTCTTTTCTCCATTTTACATTTAATTTCATAAAACAGTAGTACTAACCACACTCAAAAATATTTAAATATTACAAATATTTACTTTTAATATTTAAAAGTATTAAAAAAAGCTAGTACAATTGTTAGTAAAACTACTTTTGTAGACTGCACACAGTTTGGATCACTTTTTTCTTTGGCCATTTTTACAATGACAAATTAAACCATTTGTTTGCCATTTGTTTTTGCTCTTACCAGCTGACCACTTACCTCTGTGTGGACGGCTTTACTACTGTTACCAGTTTGTCCAGTGGCTCACTATGTAGGTTGGAGGATTTAAGATGCTGAGGAGAGATGACCATGATGACAGAGTTTGAGTCTGGCATATAACAGTTCCAGAAAGCAGGTAAAGCAAAAGCAAAATTTAAAACAAAAAAGAAAATAACAAAGTGAGTATGTGGTAAAACCTGAAAACATGGTAAAAATCAGGCTACTGTGAGAGTTTTTCTTTTTCTGTATTGCTTTTGAAACTGTTGTTTGGGTTTAGGAAAGTGGGTGGGCGCTAAGCAATCAATGCTTTTTAAAACACTATCGGTTGGGTTTAGGGAAGGAGGTGAGTGAGGAGATTGGACAGTTGGTCAAGCAGCCTCTGGTAGATTTACGCAAGAACAGCAGGTGCGAATGGCACTTGCGAGGGAAATTTGAGATCTCAAAAAGCATACGCAGCGGCCTCTGGTGAATTTGCAAAAACAAAAACTGCAAGAAAAAACGTACCTCCTGGGACATATTTAGCACTCTCCAGAAATGTATATAGGGGTATGTAATTAGAATGAGCCTGGGTTGGGTACTGTATAATAAGAGTATCTTTCAAACACTTGAACACTAAAATTGTGTTCATTGCAAATTCTCACATTTCAGTTTTTTTTTTTTTTTTTTTTTTTCTCAGAATTGTGACAGTTGCAATTCAGAGTTATGCCAAGTTAGAATTCTGCATTATGGTTTATTTTAATCTGTTCGAGGATGCGTTTTTTTTTTTTTTACTGTGAGGTCGGTCTCTATAACAAAAAACTTTTTTTTTATTTTAAATCTAGCATTAATGATTTATGACTTTTTAATAATAAAAAAATATTTAAAATATAATAGTTTTAATTTAGTTTATTTGACACAATTGTGATTTTATTTCTCAGAATTGCTAGGTACAAAGTCAGAATTCTAATTTAAGAATTCACAATTATAACTTTAATGCTTGAATTATGACTTTTTGTCTTAAATGCAGACTTTAATTTATGTGAATTCCAAGTTTATGCAGTTGTGAATTTATTTCACACAGTTTCCTGATACCAAGTCAAAATTCTGACTTGTTATTGCAGTTTACAATTTGCAGTTTCAACTTCGCTTCCCAGAATTGCAAATTTGCAAGATGTACAGCCAGAATTTTGACTTTATAACTTGCAATTGCAACTTTTTATCTCAGAATTCTGACTTCCGATTTTTTAAAATATTTTTGACGTTTCAAATTCATACTTTGCAATTATGACTTTGTATCTTAAAAATTCAAGATTAAATCTCAAAATTCTAAGAAAAAAAAGTGAGAATTGTGACTTTCTATAACGAAATTTTGTGAAAAAAATCTGAATAAATTATGAGATTGAAAAAAAGTATTTTTTTTTTATTTAGTGGCCACACTCAATTCAGTGTAAATGTTAGCTGTTCTATTTTCATTTTCATTATATTTTGCGCACACTTATGGGCCCAGAGGCATTAGTTTAAATTAGCTTATTCAATTCAACTGTACTTAATATCTTTGGACTGTGGGGTAAACCCAAACACCTGGAGGAAACCCACACGAACATGGGGAGAAAACGCAGCAACCAGCAACCATCGTGCTAGGAGACAATTGTGCTACCCACTGCGCCACCATGCTGCCCTCAGTACAGCATATTATATCTATAATTATAATATTATATAATCATATTATATCTATAATAGTAGTTAATTGAAAACTGTATAGTGTACCTTTAATTATAACAGTTGCGATAACTGCCTAATATGGGTAGACAATGAGGGATTAAAATGTTGCTTGAGTCAGACAAATGAGCAAGAAGAAAACTTTAGTTTCATCATGATTCACTCAGCATAACTGAATAACATCTGTGAAGACCACCAACGATTCTCATCTGCTTTTCTTCAGGGTCTCAGACATCAAGCGGTGCCAAAAATGGGAAATAAAAACAAAAGTGCATTAAAATCTATATAATGTAATTAATTAATAGTTATAAATTGTAAAACTAAGACCCTGTGTGCTACTGCAGACAGTTTTGTTTGATACTGGCACATTGCAGCACTGAAATATTGCAATGCACTTTTTGGGAAGAGGCTAATTTATTTGCACTATTTGTTGAAAATAAACAAGTAATTAATGGATTTAAAACACAACAACTTACAAAACACAGAAAAAAAAAGTATCATAAATTATTATATTAAAAAAAGCCGGAAACTGTCTATCAACAAAAAAATGTTTGATACATAAATTATATATAAAAAATGTATATATATATATATATATATATATATATATATATATATATATATATATATATATATATATATATATATATATATATATATATATATCAGATTTGATATTTATTCAAATGGCAGCCATGTTTTTTCAAAGTGATTCACACCTAGATACTTCATTTGATGCTTCCTTGTTTTCTCCCCGCTCGGCCCTCCATGTCCCAAAAATCAATAGAAGTCCACCATCATGAAGGACATATCAATTTATTATAGCCAGCACACAATGAATGAGCAGGGAGGAAGCTTCTAGAGGAAACAGGTGCATCCTTACCGAGATTTTTATTGTATCTAATAACCTTTTGTTGCTTGAACCAACAATAAATTAAACACATTTTAACAGTGACTTTTGCTTTATTTAAAACAAGCTACATCAATGGCATAGTCAGGTATCACAGTATGATTTATTACAGTATTTAAACAGTCAGTTTAAATTATTTTGAGTAATATAACACAACATCTGTAATATTATAAATAAACATTAAATACACACCCATATATACATTTGCTGTCTTTATAATGATAATAATAATAATGATAAAAACACAGGCTAAAACCTTTCATTTTAAATGTACACTGCTTTCTCAATAAAGATCAATAAATAAACGTCTGGGGTCATTAGGATTTCATATATATGAACTATTGTAACAAAATGCTGTAATAAAGAGTAATGGGGTTCACAATTAAACATTCTCTTTATTTTAACTAATGATTGTAAAATGTACAAGTAGACATTTTTAAAAGACAAGTCCACAGAAGTTCAGTAACACACAAGGAAAGAATTTTAGTGAGAAGTCACAGGTAATCATTTATATCCTGTAACACTTGAGTGAGCAGGAATTTTCCACCAATTCTGCCATCTTCACATCATATTTTTTACTGACCTCGGCTATGACAGATGACAAAAAATGTGGGGAAAGTAAAATAATATAGCACAATAACACATAAATGAGTTTTTTTTTTTTTTCATTACACTTACAAATGTGCCAGAACTGCTCTGCTAAAACATTTACTGTGATGTTAGGGTATAGTGTATCAAAACTATAGAAACTCAGTTACTAGAAAAAGCCGCCAGGAAGATCTCTCAAAAACTACAGTTTGCATTTGGATTGCCAGTGAGAACTAAAGCAATGATGCCATGCAGTCACAGTGTTAGCATCAATGCTGGAATTCTGTGAACTCTCATAAACAAAATGTTTGAATTTTATAGATGTGGCGGAGGGCTGAATGTCCCCTCATGTCAGATGTGCAACCCACATAAAGGTACTTTAAAGTACTAAAATGGATAGAAAAATAGAGATCAAACCCTTCAATGGGGAGTTGAAGGTATCCAGTACAAATCACATGCCAGTATTTGGTGCAAAACAGTGTAGTATACTAGCAAACAGCACCTGTAAGGAAATGACAATGTGTCGTCGTCGGCTTGGTGCTTGTGTGTTGTAATGTAAAGTAAATCTGCTCTTTGCTGATGAAGCGTTAGCAACAACACTAACAAATACTCTGTCATTGTTGTGTGTCTGTTAGTGCTTTATATTAACCTACATTTCCCTAAACTCATCATGCTTAATGTCAACTTTTTTTCATAGACTCTTATTTTACAGTGTTTGAATGGATATGACAATCCAATGAACATCCAGATTAATTAAAAATGCCATGGTAATGTAGACTAAAAGACATAATATGTAAAAAGTTTCAAGTTTTTGCCTGAAAATGTGTAAACAGCCCCTCAGTTACAAGAAATTACTGTAAATTATTTGCACACGGTTCTGACAGATTAGATCAAAACTTGACGTTGACCTGCTTGAGATTCTTTGCATCTTCATGATGACCTGCTCACGATTTGATGTGTGAGGGGTGGATATACTCTTTTCAGTGTCAGTGGCGTCACTCTGTTGTCTTTAGGACTGTCGCCGCACTTGCTAATAACAGTGACATTTGTGAGAACAGAAGAACTGCTCTTCCTTCTAAAAGACAAAAGATTCTGAAAAACTCCTAGAGCTCTTTTCCGGAAGTGACTTCCTACGATGACGTACAAGAATGGGTTTATTGCACTATTGCTGTACCCTAAATAGGTTGCCAGCTGAATGCCTATTTGCAATATGTCCTCCCACAAACATCCAGAAACAAGTTGAAAGTAGTCGAGGGTGCTGAGGAGTCGCATCAGCTGAAAGGGTGTCCAGCAAAAGAAAAACACAATGAGGACTGTCAAAACAAGTTTAGCAGCCTTTCTCTCTGTCTGAACTCTCGGCTGAATCATCAGACTACGATTTTTAAGGGCCTTGACTATGTGAAAAGTGCAAAGTGAAATGACTGGCAGTGGAACCAGGAATCCAATTAAGTTTCTTGTAAGGTTGCGCTGGAGAATCCAGGCTGGATGAGGATATGCCAGGTAGCAGGCTTCAACTTCTAAGGTTGAAAAGAAACGTACTCTTCGGAAAAGCAAGTTTGGGAGGCTGAGAATGAAACTGGCCACCCAAACCATCACACAGATACGCTTGGCCCATTTAGGGCACCTCATTTTAGTGCGATTCATGGGTTTGGCCAGTGCAAGGTAGCGGTCCACGCTGACTAGCACTAGAAAAAGTACACTACAATAGTAGTTCATGGGGATGGCAGTGTTGATCACTTTGCAGAGCAACTGGCCAAAGTTCCACTGGTAGTCCTGGGCAATGGTGACCATCCAGAAGGGTAAACAGAGGACCATAATGAGGTCTGCAGCTGCCAGGTTGCCCAGATATACATCAGCTACGCTGCACGGCTTCCGCTGGAGGCTGAACACGCAGAGGACCAGGCTGTTTCCCAACACTCCCAAGATGCTGATAAGAGCCAGAAATGGAGGCTGGACAGAAGACAGCCATGTCCAGGCCACTGTGTCGTTGCAGAAGAGAGTCGAAGAGTTCAGCTCCATTGGGACACTATGAAATAGATGTGGTTTTTTAGCATACAATCTAAATTGTATTTAAATGCACACAGCAAAAAAGTTGTCAATTAAGATGAAATGGATGAAGCTCCACCAAATCAGTGTTCAGAAGTTTTAGATGATGTTCATTTATTCATTCATTTTATTTTTTTACTTAGTACCTTTATTCATCAGGGGTTGCCACAGCGGAATGAACCGCCAACTTATCCACCATATGCTTTACACAGTGGATGCCCTTCCAGCCACAAAAGTACTGGGAAACACCCATTCACACCCACACATACACTATGGCCAATTTAGTTTATTCAATACACTTATAGTGCATGTGTTTGGACTGTGGGGGAAAACGGAGCACCCACACAAACACAGAGAGAACATTCAAACTCTAAACAAAAATGCCAACAGACCCAGCCAGGACTCGAACCAGTGACCTTCTTGCTGTGGGGTGGCAACGCTACACACTGAGCCCCAGTGTCGACGTTTTAGAACATATGAAAAAGTTTGCCTTTTTTTTTAATTGAAGTGTATTAATGCTTATATATATATATATATATATATATATATATATATATATATATATATATATATATATATATATATATATATATATATATATATATATATATGAAAGAACCCTTGCTAAACAACATACATACAAGTTTATTAATGAAGCAAAGGTCATCGAACTACAGTTTACAAGAAAATATAACAGTGTGTAAGTTAATCTATCAAAATTACTAGTAATTACAGATTGAAAATGATTTTAGGTGATTCAGTTTGGTAATTAAAATAGCTAAGACAAAATAAATAACCAATAAGCAGAGGAGAAAATAGACAATAAAATTAGATAGCAAATTAATAAAAAAAAATGCAATTTTGGAGTGAAACTTAGTTTAAACACTTTAGTTGAGCGATTACACAAGATGGTAAGTAACAATCTGTGAAGTAGTTAAATATTATTTTGTAGCATATTGTAGACTACACTTTAAAAAGCGATTAAGTGACCATTTACAAAAGAGAGAAAACTCTTTGCCATATAATTATTAAGTAAACAACCTGTGATAATTATAAGAGTTGTCAATGGCTATACTTACTTTTTAAAGTAAAAACAACTTGTTGATTTAGCGCAATATGTTTACTCACATTTTAAAGGTAAATTAAGTAAGTATTTTACAGTGTACATTAATCTTTTGACAAACTCAAGGAATGAAGGTTAGTCATCTGTTGGAACTGATCCATCTGCCTGAGCAAAAACTTTCCAAGTATTTCCAGAAGCAATCATACAAAATATGGTGGATTATAAAAATTTGAAACATATTGAATCCCAGTTTAGGAATCTCCCTTCCCATCCATCTAAGAATTAAAGATTTATTAAAATGAAATATTAGTTTAATTAATGATCAATTATAGATTTTAATACTAGTAATTAGATTTTTTTTTTTTTTTTGTTAGGGCTAGAATGCAAGTTAGGCTAAAGGTTAATTGCATGTAAGCATTTGTAATACTATAGTGCATACTTTTCATGCGTAACAATAACACCTTGCAATAAAGTGTTACTGGATAAAATGATTTGGTAATATTTAAGTAGTTGTAATATATATATATATATATATATATATATATATATATATAAACTTTCCGTTTGAATACAATCATTGTTAGGCCTTGTTAGAATCTCACCTACCTTTCATGATAAGTGTCAGCTCCAGGTTGTATGTCCAGAGTCACAGTCCGTTAACTTCCGATGTGTTGTCCAGCTGAATCTCCTCCAACTAGACACTGGTGAGATCAGACAGGCGCTCTTATAAACGCGTAATGAGACTGTCGTCACTGGACGCCTGGATCTGTTCTCACTTTCCATTTGTCATGGTCTGGCTGTCTTTCGAGTGAGTAAAACACTTGCACGCATAACTGTTATGAAGCTGATATGAAGATAAACATTGTGAGTCAAGTGTGACGCTGCATTTTTTAACAAATCTTCAGACTGACGACCGTAGATAAGGCAGACATTAAGCTTGTATTCCAGAAGAATTTCACAATCTTGCAATAAAACATCTCCGATTTATTTTCTTACAGAAATAATTTGAAAAAGTATTTTAGGGTTTCTCATAAACCTAATAAAAGCAAATGTTGAGTTCTGTAAACAGGCCAAACAATCTAAAGTGCTTATCCTTGACCCATGGACATGGATATTAGATTTTGAGTTTGAAAATATGTTTCCAGTCTCTCCACTCCTCTCAATAAAGTTTGCAATAAATTTAGCCAACTACTACTGTAAGTTAAAATTGTTTTGGAATTGTTTATAAACAACAGTTATTGGAGTATTTATTTATAATAATCTATTTTAGTTTATCAAACTGACATGCGTAATAAATGAGAAAAAAAATCTTTCTTTCTTTCTTTCTTTCTTTCTTTCTTTCTTTCTTTCTTTCTTTCTTTCAATACTGTTGACATCTTCTGATTCTTTTTCTCCTTTTCTAGGCTCATCTGTCCTACAGCATAAAATTTGACAGGTTGATCTTAAATGCCCCACACTATTAACATAGGCTCATTCTGAAAATGTAGCCCTTTACATATTTCTGGAAATTGTGATTATGTAGCCAGAAGTACGTATGGCTGCATTTTGTCTTTAAAACAAACACTACAGGGTGGTATGACGGCGTTCCTTTTCACGCTTACCAGCTGATCACTTACTTCCATATAGACGGCATTCCCGCTGTCAACAGTTTGTCCAGTTTGCTCGTTATGTATGCAAGTGGTCTTGAGTCACAGAGAGAAGTTGACCATGACGATGAGGTTCGAGTCTGGTGAAGAAAAGTTTCAGAAAGTGGGTAATATAAAAACAGAAGCCAAAAAATAAAACAAACAAGTAAATAACAGGGTGAGAATGTGGTAAAAATCCGGCGAGGGCTTTTCTTTTTCTTGATTGCTTTTTTTTAAATTCTCAGTTGGGTTTAGGGAAGTGGGTGGAAGGGGTCAATCAGTGTTTTTGAAAACACTATTGGTTGGGTTTAGGAAAGGAGGAGTGATGATCAGTCAATAAGTCAGTCAGTCAACAGTGACCCTTGGTGAATTTATACAACAACAGCAGGAGTAAATGGCACTCAAAAAGCGTACATAGTGGCTTTTGGCAAATTTGAGAAAAAAAAAAATGCAATAAAATGTACCGCCTGGCACTTATTTGGCGCTCTCCATAAATGCATATAGTTGTATGTTTTCAGCATGAGCCTGCTTGTTAATCTAATCTAATTTTAGTCGCTGAATTACAAGCAAACAAGAAATGTTCTTTTAAACCATCTTAATAGTGTAGATGTAAATAATTATAATGACTCATTATAGTCATTATACAATCATTACACACATACATCACCATAGAATCATTATACAATGTAAATTGATTTATAATGACTTACAACAAAAAGTCATTATACAATTTTGTGTCCTTGTGAACCACATTAACAAGTACACACATTTACACACCAAAGCTGGTGCTGTTGTTATAATGCAATTTTAATGTACTGTACATGCTTATATCTAAACACCCATACAAGCAAAACCATTCATTAATTTTTCTTCGGCTTTGTTGCTATTTCAGAAGTTGCCACAGGGGAATGAACGACCAGCTATTCTGGCATAAGTTTTATACCCACACGCATTGATTATGATTATGAATAATAATCAGAAACCGACGCGTCATCTTTGCACTTGCAGTTTTGTGCTATGTCGCCGATTTGGATCCCGCCCCAAAAATCATTTTAAACCCAGAAGCTGAAATTAGCTGACAAAAGCTTAAAATTATAAAAAAAAATTCCCCACAATTAAAGCTGACAGGTGCTAACATTGTCTTAACTGATACGCAACATGCACAAATCTGTTAAAAAAAAAAGTACTTGAGGGTTTTGTGAACCTATAATTCCCTTTATTTTATGTTTTTTTGTTTTTGTTTTTGTTTTGTTTTTTCCGGCACCTGCCTACCTGCTTTTTTTCACAATGTACAACTAGATGGTTTATGTGCAATATGTGCATTTGTTGACATGTTTTTAACTGTACAAATAAGAAATACACATATTTATATAAGAATATTTACAATTATGCAGCATTATTGGTTCTAAAAATATAAATAGTGAGTGTCTTTATATCATTCTTGATTGGTTTACTTTTCTGCTCAGCTTTTCATAAAGCAGGTCACGCAGACAGTGGGTGCTGTAATCAGCACATTCGCTCTCACCTGAGATGGATTGCTTAATTAAAGCTGGTGGTGGCAACACTTTTGTGGGAGGTTCAGAGGAGGTCAGGGGTGGAGGAGACCAGGAGGCCATCTGCATCTGTTATCTGGGTCTGGCATCAGGCAGCACAGTTTATACAGGAGTTCTAAGATAAATGATACTTTTCTGTTGTCAATGCAGCCTGAATTAGGCGAGAATGTTGAAGAAGAGCAGGTGTTTTAGCTCTATTTGTATCATAAAATGTCATTTTGAATTTGACTATCCAAACTCTGCTAATTCCCTGTTTAAGTATAACGCAGAACACAGACAGAAAGAGAAACAGAAAGAATGAGAAAGCTGGTCTTGCTCGTAAATCATATTTTAAACAATTTATGTTTCAATGAAAAAATGAGCAGATAAAATCCTTCAGCTGTTTCTATTGCTTTTCAACAATCTCCTGAGAGTTACTGGCTCACTGCTGCATGTCTGGTATGTGTTCAACAGCAGCGTCAGACAGTGGGGAATGAGAGCAGCAGGAGGTCCACAGAGAGACTGTTTTGCAAATCAATATTTCTATGGTAACTAGTTCCGGTATAAATTTGACTGGCCAAATGACGCTCTAAAAAAACAGATTTATTACAGCTCCTTTTTGTTTCTACACAAAAAAAAAAAATCATAGAAAATTAAATAAATATGTGTAAATACACTAACGATCAAACATTTGGGGTCAGTTTTTTTTTGTTTTTTTTGTTTTTTGGTTTTCATGTTTTGTTTTTTTAAAGAATTTGTTTTTTTTTTTAAATTGTTTATCACAGTGCATTTATTAAATGTAAAAAAAGTTAAATATTTATTTATTCAATATTTATTTATTATTTATTGTATGTAGTTTTAAAAATTATTACTCAGTTCATTATTACTATTATTATTATTACCATTAGTACTAATAGAATGTTAATAATCATTAATATTAGATGATTTCTGAAGGATCATGTGACTGATCATGTGTGAAGGATCATTTGTTGAAAATTCATCTTTGAAATCACTACACACAAACACAAACACACACACACACACACACACACACACACACACACAACGGATAATTTAGCTTACCCAATTCACCAGTGCCGCATGTCTTTGGATTGTGGGGGAAACCGGAGCACCCGGAGGAAACAAACACGAATGCAGGGAGAACATGCAAACCCCACACAGAAACGGCAACTGAGCCAAGGTTCGAACTAGCGACCTTCTTGCTGTGAGGCGACAGCACTACCTACTGCGCCACTGCATCGCCCTAATGTGTGCAATGTTTTTTTCTTTCTTTTTTTTAATGAAATTGTCCTATATTCAATGCTTTTGTTTGAGATTTTGACTGTTTCAACCCCATACCACATCCATATTTCCTTGACATTTAATTTGGAATTATTTTAATTTAATTAATTGGTTTTATATGAAGATATATATATACACACACATACACACACACACACACACATATATATACATATATATTTCAAGATGTGAAGTCAGAATTATTAGCCCCCCTGAATTATTAGCCTCTCTGTTTATTTTTTCCCCAATTTCTGTTTAACGGAAAAATTTTATCTTTGCCATGATGACAGTAAACAATATTTGACTAGATATTTTTCAAGACACTTCTATACAGCTTAAATGGACATTTAAAGGCTTAACTAGGTTAATTAGGTTAACAGGTTAGGGTAATTAGGCAAGTTATTGTATAACGATGGTTTGTTCTGTAGACTATTGGGAAAATATATTAGCTTAATATAAAGGGGCTGATAATTTTGACAAAATGTTTTAAAAATATATAAACTGCTTACATTCTAGCTGAAATAAAACAAATAAGACTTTCTGCAGAGGAAAAATATTATCAGACATACTGTGCATGATTATTTCCTTGCTCTGTTAAACATTTGGGAAATAATAAAAAAAGAAAAAATAATAATTAAAAGGGTGGGCTAATAATTCTGACTTCAACTGTGTGTGTGTGTGTGTGTGTGTGTGTGTGTGTGTGTGTGTGTTTGTGTGTGTGTGTGTGTGTGTGTGTGTGTGTGTGTGTGTGTGTGTGTGTGTGTGTGTGTGTGTGTGTGTGTGTGTGTTTCCCAGAGATGGGTTGTTGATGAAAGGCCCTCCGCTGTGTAAAAATGTGCTAGATAAGTTGGTGGTTCATTCCGCTGTGGCGACCCTGGATTAATAAAGGAACTAAGCTGACAAGAAAATGAATAAATGAATGAATTGCACACATTAAAGATTAATGTCACATATGTTTATACGAATTTCATGATTAACAAAGTAAACAAAACTACACACCCACATACACAAACTCACAAATTTGATTAAGTGCAATTAAAAATAATCATCAATAATCAATCATTACAAATAACAATAATAACTAGGCCAATTATAAACTGTTTCCATTATTGTCTGTGTGAATTAGAGAAACAGAAGACTTGTTCCTTGGTTAAGCACACTAAACAGAGGTAAAGTGAATTCTAAGTATGATCACCGTAAATTGATGTGGCGTAATATTCAACACAGAGCAGCAATTATCCGTCCAGTACAATTTGTCCACAAGACTTCCGAGTTATTCCACAAGGGAGCAATCAGTGACTCCTGTCATCAGATTTGACTATCCAGAACATGGAAAACATGGCACAAAAGCACATCACAGGACAATCCATTCATCAGGTTATTTCTCTAAAACAAATAAAGGAGACCGAGACAAGTTGTGGCATCTCTAATTATATAACAAAGATGATTTAGAGTTTCAGGATCATCATGTTTGAGCAAACAAGAGAATGGTGC